TCCAGCATGATTTCCCTAATTAAGGTAAAGATATCAAGTTTGCTTTTCCAGTGCCAAAGTCTGACTGAGCTGCTGTAACAAAATACCATTGACTGTAACAACACACATTGATTTCTCACAGTTCTCGGAGGTGAAAGGCTAAGACCAGGGTGCCAGCATAGGTGAGTTCTGATGAGAGGACTCAGGTTGCAGACTGCCAACTTGTCACCCAGTAGAGGACCCTTTTATATCTCTAGGGTATCTCTGGGGATTCTTTTTTTTTTTTTTTTAAAGATTTATTTATACAAGCACAGGGTACAGTCAGAAGCTTGGGAGGGTGAGAGAATTCACCAGAGCCAGAGCAGGGAGCAGAACAGACAGACTGACGAAACACACTGCTGAGGGGAGCAGCGGGCGGCAGGAGAGGTCTGCGTGCCATGTAGGACCCTCACCGGGTTGCCGGGGATCGAACTGGCGCTGCAGAGGCTCGGGCAGCTTTGCAACCCAGCCCTCAACTGCTGTGCCACCAGGGAGGCCCTCTGGGGATTCTTTTTTAAGGGCACTAATCCCCTTCATGAGGGCTGTGCCCCTGAACCTAATCATCTCCTAAGTTCTCACCTTCTAATAGTACACACTTGGGCATTAGGTTTTCAACATTTGAATTTTAGAGGTGTGAACATATTGAGACCATAGCATCCAGATACTGACTTTGAAAATGGGAGCATAAATGTTACAAAATACACACACAAATATAGCACATAGAAAACTTTTGATTTGTTTCACTTAAGTGGGATCATGGCCTATGATAGCCCCCTGAAACGTCCTTAGAACCCAAATGTTTGGAAAAAAGAGAAATGTATATAGATATATAGATATATATCTAATGTGTATATACTCATAGAGCTTTACTATTTTAATGTTTAGCATTTAATATGTTAATATTTTAGCTTTACTATTTTAATATTTCTAGAGAACCCATCCCAAACACCTTTATTTAATAGTGTGGAGCCTTCATTTAATAACGAGGCTCAAAGAGGTAAGAACAGGCTTAAAGTGATATACCACTCTGCTTCCAGCTTGGTTCAAATGCGGTAATTCAGAAAACAATCCAAGATATTCTGTTGATTGTTCTCACCTCATCCAACAAGAAACAGCCCTCTAAAACAGTACCACTAAAAATAAAAAATATTGAGCACCAATACATTATCAACATGTCAAAATCTCTTTGGAAGAAATATTACAGTCATATGGATTGCAACCAAAAAAGATAAATTTTAAGAGAGTCATTAATCTTCTCTAAGGTTGCTGTTTTGGAACCAGGAAAATGTCTATGTTTTTTAAATGCAACAAATATTTCAAAATATCTTTTTTGAAAATATAGTAACGGGCCTCCCCTGGTGGCGCAGCGGTGGAGCGCTGGGCCGCGAAGCTGCCCGCAGCCTCTGCAGCGCTGGTTCCATCCCAGCCTCAGCAGCACCTGTTCGATCCCAGCCTCTGCAGCGCTAAAAAAAAATCCATGCAACCACCACCCATATTACAAAATTGAATGTTTCCAGAAGCTGGGAACACCTTTGACCAACTTTTTGTGGCTATCCCCATACAAAGGGTAACTATGATCCTGACTTATAACACGGTAATTTAATGATAGTCTTGACTTTTTGTGGGACCAGACTATAAGCATTCTTTTGAATTTGATTCTTTTGCTTAAATCTTTTGCTGCGTGTTTGTAAGTTTTATTCATATTTTTGAGTACATTAATTTGTCTATTTTTGTTGCTGTATGGTATTTCATTGCATGAATATAGCATACTTGACCTGTTTTACTGAATAAATGCAATTTATGGATAATTGAGTAGCTTCTAGTTTGGGGTATCATAGTTTCCTAGAGCTGCCAGGAAAAAAAGTACTACCAATGATTAGCTTAAGCCATAGAAATTTATTATCTCACAATTCTGGAGGCTAAAAGTCTGAGGCCAAGTGTCTTCTGGGCTGGTGGTTTGCTTGGAGGGATGTAAGGATGAAATCTGTTTTGGCCTGCTCATCACTGTACAGATTTTTATCTAGATTTATGTCCTCTGCTTTGCATGGCTGGCTAGAGGGAAGGATAAGATGAGTTTACTTTCGGTGCCAGTAGGGGATCTTGCCTAGAATAGGTTCTCATTGTTGATTTGATAGCTATAATTGATTGAAGCCTCTATGTCAGTTTCTATGCAATAGAGGCATAGCATCCATTTATAGGATATAGTCATATTTTTAAAGGTGCTTTAATAGCACGAAAAAATTTAAGAGGTAACAAACATCATACTCTGTAAATGAGATTTGGGAAATCTCTCTAAGAGTTTTCTATAACATTTTCCCTGACTAACTTCTAAATGTAAATAGAACCCGGGTTTGATCACTTGCATGGCATTCCACTTACGGCTTCCTTCCCACTGTTATTTATTATTATCTCATTCATTAAAATGGCTACTATTAAAAAAAGAAGATAAGTGCTGGTGAAACTATGGAGACATTGAAATCTCCCTGCTCTGCTGTAAATTGGTACAGTCCTGTGGACAGCAATATGATAGTTTTTCAAAAAATTAAAATAGAATTGCCACATGATCCATCAATTCTACTTCTGGGTCTATACACAAGAGAATTAAAGAAAGGTAACAAATAGATCTTTTTACAACACTTTCATTGCAGCATTATTTTAAAAAGCTGGAATGTGGAAGCAACCCAATAATACATAGATAGAGGGACAAGTGGATAAGCAAAACGTGGTATATACATACAATGGAATGTAATTCAGCCTCAGAGTAAAGGGAATTCTGACATATGATTCACGTGAAAGAACAATGAGTCAGTCACAAAAGATAAATCTGTACGATTTCACTTATGTGGTGCTTAAAGTATTGTCAAAATCATAGAGACAGAAAGCAGATGGTTGCCAGGTACTGGGGGGAGGGGTGAAATGACAAGTTATTGTTTAATAGTATGGAGTTTCAGGTTTGCAAGATGAAAGGAGTTCTGGAGATGGCTGGTGGTGATGGCTGTGCAATATTATGAATGGACTTAATATCACTAAACTGCATACTTGGTAAATTTTATGTTACATGTATTTTGCCACAATAAAAAAGTCAGCAAAAAGAGACAACACACAAAATTATGCTGTTTGTAACAGAAGACGAACAGTGCATAAAGGATAAGACAAGATAAATAGATTTTTTGCGTGTGTTGGCAAATCACACAAATACACAAGTGATCCGTGTCTGTCTTGAAGAAAGACTATATTACTCATGTAGGAACTCATTTTGGCTTGGAGATTTTATCATTTCTGGTTAATGTGGGGGAAATGATTAATAGTAAAATGTGAAGAAAATGAAAAGTTGATGATAAATGTCTGCACTGGAGAAAGGAAACAAGTATTGTACTCAACTAAAACATCCTATGAGACAGAGCCCGAAGTAAAAGAAGGAGGGTGGGTTGTGAATCATTTAGCCTATTTGGCACAGAGATTCAAATAGAATAGATAAGATACATCACAATTCATATTAAGGTTACTAGTTGGACTTACCAGATGCATTAGGAAATTGTAGGATTTAATGTAAAAGAGAAAAATAAACAAAGGAAAGACTGAAGCATAGAGGAAGACTACAGGAAAAGACAAACCATGAAGCAGCCGAGTATAGACCCAGTCGGTTCCAGTGAGGTCTATGCATAAATTTGAATTATATTTATTTAATTTTTTTTTAAATTCTGCATTTGTAAAATGAACTATAAGATTCTGAGATCCTGTCCATTTGTAAGTTTAATAGTTTAGGTTTCAATGGCTTTTGGAAATTTTAATCTGCATTCTAATACTTCTTTCCTATAACTACAGGCTTGCTTTCTTTTACAGTGCACCTACAATAGATTATGATATTGTGGTATGTGTTGGGGTTATGAAAATGAATCAAATATCTTGTTACCTTCAAGAAACCCACTACTGGTGGCAAGGGTAGACAGGAATATGTGTTCTTCCTTTATCGTTAAGGAATAAAGAGTGGGGTTAAGAAGCAGACTGAGGGTGTTCTAGCTCAGAAGAGCTTTGAAGGTGTACAAGTAAAACCTGGGAAACAAGAATGCACAGTGCCTGGAGAAATGGCAGGTGGTTAGGTATTCTTGGGGAGAAGGATGATGAGCAATTGGGCTGCGTGGTGAGGAGTGGCCACATAATTAAGCACTCTGGCATGCTAAGGAACTTGAATTTCATTGTGAAGGCAAATGGAAATCAGTTAAAGACCCTGGTTAGAAATGCAACAAGATAAAATATTTTAAATTATACCAAGTGTGCAGTTTAGTGATATTAAACTAAACTGATCAGGTGGAAGTGTATTCAGGAGATTAGAAGCTCACATGGCAATGAAGGATGTAGAGCAATTCTGACAGGCATAATGATTCCCTGGACTGAAGCAGGAAAAATGAGAACGTAGAGGCAGGCACAGAGTACAGATTGAGGAGGAACCACTGGCTCACTGGGCCCACCCCAGTATTTAGCAGGTTGGAGAGGGATCCTGACACCAACAGTTTAATTTCCCAGGTAATGCTGTTGATGAGCATGAGGAGAATAAGAAGGATCTTGAAGATGAGAAATCAATCATGGGGGATCATGAGATGAACATTAAGATGCCATTGCCTCCCAGAGCGCTCTAGCCAGCAAAGAAACAGTGTAGACTGCCAATGACATAGTCTGTTTTTCAAGTAGGATTGCCAAATTCAACAAATAAATATGTGAGATGTCCGGGTTTGAATTTCAGATATACAATAGGTAATTTTTGAGTCTGTATGTCCTGTGCAACAGTTGGGACAAACGTAAAATAAAAAATTACACATTTGTTATTTGAAATTCAAATTTAACTGGGCATCCTATATATTAACTGGCAACCCTATATGAGAACTTGAAAAATTAGATGTGAGGATGATGACCGAATCCTTAAAGTTAAGGTGAGAGTTAATAAATCCTCATTTATTAATATTTATTTTCTGACTCACTGTCAGCAACAGACAGGCCATGAACACATGATCACACCACAGTGATAACTATAAGCAACCGTGATTAACTCGTGACTGCTGAGCTGCTTCTTTCCTATCTGCTCCTGTGCCACTTCCAGAAACATTCACCTTCACCTGTGACCCAGGATTCAGTGTTCCCTAACAGTGAGTAAGTTTTTATTATCCAGATCTGAAAAAATTCGATCATTTCCCACATACTACCTTAAAGCAGTTAACCTGATATTATAAAAGTAGGATAACCATTTTTTTTTCCTTTTTTTCCAGAACTGAAGGTTTCCTAGGACTTGGGATTTTTCATTGCTAACACTTGGAATGTCCCAAGCAAACCAGGGTGGTTGCTTAAAGCCATTGCTATCTCTGTGTTGGTTGTGAGCTTTTTTTTTTTTTTTTTTTTTGCGAATTTTTATTTTATTTTATTTTTATTTTTTTATAAATTTTATTGTTATATTCCCCATACAATTGCAGCCCCCCCATTCTGACCCCAATCCCTCCCTCCTGCCCCCGCCCCCTAAAAGTGTCTCTGGTTCATAGTTTTTTGTTGATTTTGATTTTCACTTTCTTATAGTTATTCATTTTCCTGGTCCCTTATTTAAGTTTTCTAGATTCCTGCTATGAGTGAGACCATCCGGTATTTTTCTTTTTCTTTTTGGCTTATTTCGCTGAGCATGATCCCTTCCAGCGCCATCCATGTTGCTGCAAATTGCATGTGTTTATCTTTTTTGAATGCTGAGTAATATTCCATGGTATATATGTACCACATCTTCTTGATCCAGTCATCTATTTTTGGGCATTTGGGTTGTTTCCAAAGCTTAGCTATTGTAAACAGTGCTGCTATAAACATAGGGGTGCAGGTGTTCTTTGGAATTGATGTTTCTGTGTCCTTTGGGTAAATACCTAGGAGTGGAATTGCTGGATCATATGGAAGCTCTATGTTTAGTAGGTCCAGAAATCTCCACACAGCTCTCCACAGTGGTTGGACCAGTTTGCACTCCCACCAACAGTGCAGAAGAGTTCCTTTTCTCCACACCCTCGCCAGCATTTGTTGTTGCTAGTTTTTTTAATATGTGCCATTCTCACTGGTGTAAGATGGTATCTCATGGTAGTTTTGATTTGCATTTCCCTGATGGCAAGTGATGTTGAACATTTTTTCATATGCCTGTTGGCCATTTGCATTTCCTCTTCAGAGAAGTTTCTTTTTAGCTCTTCTGCCCATTTTTTGACTGGATTATTTTCTTTGTTGTTGCTGAGTCTCATCAGCTCTTTGCAGATTTTTGTGATCAGTCCTTTATCATTAGTGTTGGGTGCAAAAATGTTCTCCCAGTTGGTGGGGTTTCTCTTTGTTTTGTTATTGTCTCTTTGCTGTGCAGAAGCTCTTTAATTTGATGTAGTCCCAGCTGTTTATCTTTGCCTTCACTATCACTGCTTTGGGTGATGTGTCTGTAAAGATGTCTTTGATGTGCAGATCACGTAGTGTTTCGCCTATATTTCCTTCTATATATTTTATGGTTTCAGGTCTTATGTCTAGTTCTTTAATCCATTTTGAGTTGATTTTTGTGTATGGTGTGAGGTAGTGGTCAAGCTTCATTCTTTTGCATGTAGCGACCCAGTTTTCCCAGCACCATTTATTGAACAAACTTTCTTTGCTCCATGCATAGTCTTTGCTCCTTTGTCAAAGATTAGTTGACCATAAATCTGTGGATTTATTTCTGGATTTTCTATTCGATTCCATTGGTCTGTATGTCTGTTCTTGTTCCAATACCATGCAGTTTTGATGATTATGGCTTTGTAGTATAGTTTGAAGTCTGGGAGTGTAATGCCTCCATTCCCTTCTTTTTTTTTCAGGAGAGCTTTGGCTATTCGGGGTTTTTTGTGATTCCATATGAATTTCATCAATAATTGTTCTATTTCTTTGAAGAATGACATTGAAATTTTGATTGGAATAGCATTGAATCTGTATATTGCTTTTGGAAGGATGGCCATTTTAATAATGTTTATTCTTCCAATCCACGAGCAGGGGATGTCTCTCCATTTCTTTGTGTCTTCTTCTATTTCTTTTAACAGTGTTTTATAGTTTTCTTTGTATAGGTCCTTTATCTCTTTTGTTAGATTTATTCCCAAATATTTGATTTTTTTGTTTCAATAACAAAAGGGATGGTTTTTTTGATTTCTTCTTCTTCAGATTTATTGTTTGTGTATAGGAAGGCTACTGACTTTTGCATGTTGATTTGTATCCTGCCACTTTACTGAACTGATTGATGAGTTGAATTAGCTTTTCTGTGGAGTTTTTGGGGTTCTCTATGTATAATATCATATCATCTGCAAATAGTGATAGTTTGACTTCTTCTTTTCCTATTTGGATTCCTTGGATGTCTTTCTCTTGTCTTATTGCCCTGGCTAGGACTTCCAGTATTATATTGAAAAGCAGTGGTGAGAGTGGACATCCTTGTCTTGTTCCAGATCTTAATGGAATTGCTTTCAGCTTTTCACCATTGAGAATGATGCTGGCTGTTGGCTTGTCATAGATGGCCTTTATGATGTTGAGGTATGTTCCTTGTATCCAAGAATTTCAAGGGATTTTATCATGAATGGGTGTTGCACTTTGTCGAAAGCTTTCTCAGCATCTATTGATATTATCATATGGTTTTTATATTCTTTTTGTTGATGTGTTGGATAACGTTGATTGATTTTCGGATGTTAAACCATCCTTGTGCCCCTGGAATGAATCCTACTTGGTCGTGGTGAATTATCTTATGGATATATTGTTGGATTCTGATGGCTAAAATTTTATTGAGGATTTTTGCATCAGTGTTCATTAGGGAGATTGGCCTGTAGTTTTCCTTTTTAGTGTTGTCCTTGTTCGGTTTTGGTATTAGTGTAATGTTGGCTTCATAGAACGTGTTTGGTATTGTCCCTTCCTTCTCAATTTTTTGGAAGAGTTTGTGAAGGATAGGCACTAATTCGTCTCTGAATGTTTGGTAGAATTCATTTGTAAATCCATCAGGTCCTGGGCTTTTGTTTTTGGGGAGGTTTTTGATTACCATTTCAATTTCGCTGCTTGTAATTGGTCTGTTTAGGTGTTCTATTTCTTCTTTATCTAGCTTTGGGTGATTGTAGAGTTGTAGGAATTTGTCCATCTCCTCTAGATTATTAAACTTATTTCCATATAACTGTTCATAGTAGTTACTGATTATTCTTTTGATTTCTGCTGTGTCCGTTGTGATTTCTCTTCTTTCATTGATGATCCTGTTTATTTGTGCTTTCTCCCTTTTTTCCTTTGTGAGCCTGGCTAGGGGTTTGTCTATTTTATTGATTTTTTCAAAGAACCAGCTCTTGGTTTCATTGATCTTTTGGATTGTTTTTTTAGTTTCAATTTCATTTATTTCTGCTTTGGTTTTTATTATTTCTTTTCTTCTACTGGTTTGGGGTTTTTTGTTGTTCTTTTTCTAGATCTTTGAGCTTCGAGATTAGGTTGTTTCTTTGAGTTCTTTCTTGTTTCTTGATGTGAGCTTCTATTGCTATATATTTTCCTCTTATTACTGCTTTTGCTGCATCCCATACATTTAGGATATTGGTGTCCTCCTTGTCGTTCAATTCAAAAAATTTTTTAATTTCTTCTTTGATCTCCTCATTAGTCCAGTGGTCTTCCAGTAGTGTGGTTTTTAATCTCCATGAGGTAGGAAAGTTCCTTGCCTTCTTTTTATGGTTTAGTTCTAGTTTGATGCCTTCATGGTCAGAAAAGATGGTTGGTATGATTTCAATCTTGGTGTATCTGTTGATGTTTGTCTTGTGCCCCAGTATGTGATCGATCCTGGAGAATGATCCGTGTGCGCTTGAGAAAAATGTGTACTCCGTTTTTTTGGGGTTTAGTGTTCTATAGATGTCTGTTAAGCCCAATTGCTCTAGGTCCTTATTTAGAGCTTTGGTTTCTTTACTTATTTTTTGTCTTGTTGATCTATCCATTGTTGATAGTGGTGTGTTGAAGTCTCCCACTACGTATGTGTTTTCTCTGATGTCTGTTTTCAGAGAAGACAACAGTTGTCTGATATATTTTGGTGCTCCTTCGTTTGGTGAGTATATGTTAATGAGTGTTATTTCTTCTTGAAGTATTGTCCCCTTGATCATAATGTAGTGACCATTGGGGTCTCTTTTTATCTTTTTGAGTTTGAAATCTGTTTTATCTGATATAAGTATAGCTGTTCCTGCTTTCTTTTTTGGCCCATTTGCTTGTAGGATTGTTTTCCATCCTTTGACTTTGAGCCTATTTTTATCTTTTGTAGCTAAATGTGTTTCCTGGAGACAGCAAAAGGTTGGGTTTTGTTTCTTAATCCAGGCTGCAACTCTGTGTCTTTTTATTGAAGAGTTTAGTCCATTTACATTTAGAGTTAATATTGATATGTTAACATCTGTATTTGCCATTTTGTTTGTCTTTCCTTTGATTTTATTTATTTATTCTTTTAATAACTTTTTTTTTTTTTTGGCCTTCTTTCATTGTTATTCGTCCCTCTGAGGTTCTGGCTTTAGGACTCCTTGTAGTATTTTTTGGAGTGGGGGTTTAGTTGCAATGAAATTCCGGAGTTTCTGTTTGTCTGGGAAGGTCCATATTCTTTCTTCAAAGAGGAAGGAGAGCTTTGCAGGATAGAGTATTCTTGGTTGGCATCTGTTTTCTTGGAGTCTGTTGACTATGTCCCTCCACTCTCTCCTTGCCCGTAGTGTTTCTTCGGAGAAGTCTGATGTCAGCCTGATTGGCTTTCCTTTGAATGTTATCTGTTTCTTCCCTCTTGCCAGCTTCATTATTTTTTCCTTGTCCTGGATTCTTGGGAGCTTTACTATTATGTGTCTTGCTGTATTTTTTCTTTCGTCGTGGAAGTTTGGTGTTCTTCTTGCTTCTTGTATATCAATTTTCAGCTCCTTCTTCACATTTGGGAAGTTCTCTTCAATTATCTCTTTGAATATTTTCTCTGTTCCTACTTCTCTCTCCTCTCCTTCTGGTATTCCTATAACTCTTATATTTCCTTTCCTCATGGAGTCAGATAGTTCCCGAAGTCTTTCTTCATTCTTTTTCCTTCGTACTTCTCTTTCCTTTTCTGTTTTGGTTCTTTTTATTTCTGTGTCTTCAAGAGCACTTATTCGTTCTTCCATTTCATCAATTCTTCTTTCATTGCTTTTCCCAGAATTCTTTAGTTCTTCCACTAATTCTTTGATCTCCTGCATTTCTTTTACTTCCCTCTTTAGGGACTCAATTTCATTCTTCTGATCGTTGATTATTTTTCCCTTATCATTGTTTTCCTTTATGACTTCTGTCAGTTTTTTAATCACGGCAATTTTAAATTCTCTTTCTGGAAGGCTCAGAA